ATTTGAGCAAGCAAAATATTAATAAAATTTCATGTTACTAATCACTGAATCCAACGAAGGAGGACAATTTTAGTCAATGATGCTTTGTATGATTCTCAATTAATTTGAGTCAATAACAGAGTCATCTATGGATTCAATCCCCCAACAAAGCCTCTTAATGTCCATCTTCTGCTTAGCCCCTCCTCTTCTTCCTCCAACATATTTCCCACTCCAAGGGTCAAGGTAATAATAGTGATGTGTTTCAACTAATGAACTGTTACCCATCTGGTTTCTTAAGCATCAGTTTCACCAGAAGTCTAGATTTTAAACTTGCTTTAATGTTTCATAAACTTAAACAAAAAACTTACAAGATTTTAACACTTAAAAAGGGCTCCTTCAATATTTTTCCTTTTTCCCTCTTATGCTCTTTATCGCCTAAATGGTTTCTTAAACCTAAGTAATGCTAATACAAGTTAACTGCTTTGAGTATTAGTTTTTTACAGTATGAACATTTTAGCACCACCATTGATGTGGTTCAACTAGCACAATCAGCAGATAAGAAGAGGAATAGGCCCAATCACACATTCATCATCAAGTTAAATGCATCACCAATAATGGGGACAACTAGATGAATAATCTTACGCTTTGTTAACCATAACAAGAAATGCATATTCCCCATTTCTATCTGTTGATAACAACCAACACAAAAAATATATATTTCATACATAAATGTCAAGAACCCATCATTTATACTTCCTTTCATGCTCATCCAGAGAACTTCAAATAAAGAACAAGATAATTCATAAGGATTGAATGACACAAAGTGAAGTGCCTTACCTTCTTAGCTTCAATTTGGAGAAGATACAAATCCTCCTTCACATTCATGAAAAATTTCTGCAACGTTGGCCGTACCTACAGAATCATTACCCCAAAAATTACAGTCTCAGAAGCTACAGAAGCAATCAATCCGAGCAATGGGCAGATGCATCCATGAAACACTAGAAAGCAATAAAGCAAAGAGAGAGACCTGATCGAGATTGCTCAGGTGGAAACAACCAGTGGACCTATCAAGCTCTCCTCCAAAGATAGACCCATTTTTCTCTAATTTTAAGGATTTGGCATTTGGTTTGTTCACATGGATGTAAAAAAAAAAAAAAGATTTAGTAGTAATTTTTTTATATCATTTTTCATGTCATTTAAATAATTATCCTTTTTTATTCATGAATTTATTTAATCTATGCCTAAAATCATAAGTTAAGAATGCAGTAAATATATTTTTTGTAATAAATTTTTGTTAAAAAAATAAAAATTAATTTTTAATTTTTTAATTGTTCAATTAAATTCATATATTTAATATTAATATTAAATTAATATCAATTTTTATATATTTTTATATATATTTATGATAAAAAATATCAGATATCGTTACTGTTAAAACTAGGGAGGTTTGTCTAGGAACAAACGAGGTATGGCATCAATCCTCTTGCTCCGTTTCATTCCTTGTGTTCCTAGTTCATTTTATTTTAGTTCTGCAAAAACGGCGCTCACAATAGTCAAAATTCTTGTTTAATAACTTC